TTTATGTTGTGGGTACCATCCACAAAACAAGAAAGAAATACCTCATTGTTTTATAAATAAAAAGCAACCTGAATATTCCAGTCAATTTGGATTTTCAGATACAGCAACTCTAGTATCTTACGTCCCTAAAAATAAAAGATCTGTAGTTCTTATATCATCACTTCATTATGCTGCAGAAATTGAAAGTACAACTGAAAAGCTCAAACCCAGCATAGTTATTTTTTACAATAAAACAAAGGGCGGTGTTGATGAAGTTGACAACAAAGTACAAATGTATTCGGTTTCAAGGAAGAACAATAGGTGTATATAGTTATAGTCGCAGGAAACCAATAGTTTTCGAGATATTTGCGTTTAAAGTTAAAAATTACCACTGTATGAATTACGTATTTTTTCGATTTAGAATTAATATTACACTCATATTTTGCACTTTTTTATTCACTATCACTTCACTACTTTGTTTAAAAACATTTATTTTACATTATATAGTACAATAAAGTTCTAATTCAATATTTAACTTATTGTTAAAATTTATTTACTTAACAATAACGAAAGAACTACAAGCTGTCAAATAATCAGTGTTACCTTACTAATATATTTGAGGAAACTAAGAAATATACAATAGAAAGGAAGATTAACAAAAAGGAATTAAAAAACTTGACAAACCACTGTGTTGGACTAGCCAGGGTTATAATTTTGAAGGCCGAAGACCGCCAACGCAAAAAGAAGTTGTTGCGGAAAAAACTTGAAACACCCCGGTGTTGAACCGTCCAAGGTTATTTTTTTTGCAGCGCGGATGAAGGTTGCCCACACAAAAAGGAGTTTTACGCGATTGAAACTAGACTCACCCCGGTGTTGGACCGACCAAAACACTTTTTTTGAAGGGCGGCCAAAGGCCGCCAACGCAAAAAGGTGTTCGGGCCGGCTTTAGTATATCATCCCACGATTTCAGGGTTAAAAGCGGTATGGTTGGATAGGGCTAATGCTCCAGATTAAGAATACATTATAGCCGCCGCAAGCTTATAGTTTTCGAGATATTTGAATTTAAAGTTGAAAATTTCGCCAATTTAATTTTGCAATTTCTCGATTTATAGTAACTTTTTCTTTCATATTATGTACTTTTCATACATTTACACTTCACTACAATATTTCTACATATTTATTTTATATTAATTTTTTTAATATTTAAATTAAAATAAGCATTTTACATTTTATACAAATTTTATTATACGCACAATAGCAATAAGTGTTCCGTGTTGTCAAATAATAAGTATTACCATATCTACACATTTATCAAACGAATAAAAAACAATTTTATACAACAAATACATAAATCATTATCCCTTTTCTTGCTATAAAAGGAGTGTTACTGGAAAAAAACCTGACACATCTCGGTTTTGTATCGGCCAGGATAATTTTTTATTTTGCCGCCAACGCAAAATGAAGCTTCACTCGAAAAAAACCGGACACACTTTGGTGTTATATCGGTTAGAGTTGTTTTTTTCATGCATTTGAGATTTTATTTATTTTCATTGTTTTTAATCGTTTGGGATATGATTGATTGATTGAAAGTTGAGGAATGCACTGCGACCTTTGGTCTATTGTGCCCTCTCCTGACTCACATTGTCTTACTTAGCATCAGCGCATTGATGCAATCCAATAGCTTACAGGGTGCTAATGAGACAATGCGATTCCTATCCGGAAACATCGATCCAAGGGCTTTAATGCTGCGTCTACAGACTGCTGTGCAGTCCATCAGCAGGTGTTCCAGAGTTTCAGGCTCCTTGTCGCAGAACCGGTAGTTAGCGCAAGAGGATAGGCCCATGCTTTACAGATGCCTATTTAGTTTGCAGTGGCCAGTGTACCATGCGACTAGTAGCCTGAGTTTGTTCCTGGGGAGGTTTATTACAACTTTGAACCTTCTCAAGTTGTAACCTCCCATTAGCATCTTGGTATGTCTCATACCGTGAGTTTGTTGCCAATGCTCCTCCCTGCCCACTCCTTCTTCCTTGCGTGGCAGCTCCAGCATGGTATGGGGCCCCGCTTCGTAAAGGGTTCGGGTCCTACCATCTTGGTGGAGCGGAGCGGGCAAGTTCGTTCACCAGTTCGTTACCAGCTACATCTCTGTGACCAGGCACCCAGATTAGGTGTACCTGGTTTCGTTCCGCACGGCTGTTCAGCCTTTCCCTGCACTCCTGCACTAGTACCGATTTGATCTCGTAAGAGAAGATCGTTTTTAGCATCACTTGACTGTCGCTTAGAATGGCTATTCGCTCATTGCGATAGTTGCGATGGAGGTTTATCTCTATACACCGGTTTATTTCAAAAACTTCTGCCTGGAAAATGCTCGGGAACTCTTCCATGAGTGTAGAATGCTTAGTGCGTGGGCCCACAATCCCTGCGCCGATTTCCTTCGACATTTTCAAGCCATCGGTGTACCACCTCGACGTGCTATTGCTCAACATCAATTCGAGGTTGGTATCGTTCCACTCGGCTTTACAGCAGAGGCTGACCTTAAACTTTTTCCTGAAGTTAACCATTTTGGTAGCGCTGTTATCGGGGGGAGGGCCAATGGCATGCTTCCACTTATATTTTCCATCCTTTGGGACGAGACTACCTTGCCTTTTCCACACCCCTCAGCCGTTATTTGCAAAAGTGTGTTTTTGGCTACCTGACCGATAACCAAATGAAGCTCAGTCAGTTAAAGCAGAACCTCCAGTGATGCTGTTGGACAGGTGCTGCTGTAGATGCAATAGTTTGGTCTTTATCGAAGGTTGCGACACTATTGAGGCCCAGGCCACACTATCTTGGTATACAACCACCTAACGATTGCACACCATTAAAGCTTTTGTCGCTTTGACCAAGGTCAGGTTTACAAGTTAACATAAGCTGCCCTTTGTCAACAACAAAGTCCGCGTGTGGCCTGAGTCAACGAATTCACATTCCCACGCTGACGGGTAAGGCACAGCGGTAGCGGCAAACTGCCAACGCAAGCGTYGGYGTCGTATCCGCTGCAATAACTCTACAACTACTACTAACAACGAATTGCGGGACACAACAACTAAGACAAGGTGCAGGGACTTATTTAAGACATTAGCTTTAGAATGTAAGGTTTAGATTTTAACAGAGAACTCATCAGACATCATGATCTGGTTAATAAAGTGATAATAATAAAGAAAAAAGACGGATATACTTAATTTACATGCTGCTTCCACCGCAGAATCTAGCATCAATGGCATCCGTTCCCACGAGAGTCGGGTCTACGAAAACCGGAACGGACCCGGATTTTTATCCGGCCAAGGACTGTCAACTCGACAGAATTTCTGCCGTTACAACAACAACAACAACACTGTTGGTAATCTCTATCTCACTGTCTATAAGGGTGAGATTCCTAAGACCGGGTAGGGACCTGCGTCTCGTAAACGGGATTACGGCCGTCTTGGAGGGGTTGATATTCAGTTCAACCTCCCTACACCACGACTTCGCTAGGTTTAGAACTTTGCCTTCGGCTAGAATTACAATGTCGTCAACAACCCTTGGTAGCGGATCCCATTGTCCGTTAATAGTGCTAGCAGGTCGTCTGCGACTAGACTCCACAGGTGGGGTGATAACACACCTCCCTGTGGGCAGCCTCCTGTTGTGCCGACACGAATCCTTTTTCACCTACTGTGGTCTCAGCAACCCTGATGCGCAGTACGGCTTCTATCCATCTACGCACCAATGTTGCCACATTCCTTTTCTCCAATCTTGTGAGACATCCAGTGAACTCTACCTCAGAGGTCAGCTGGTACAGAGCGGTAGATCTGCCCGCTCTGTATGCAGGCTAAGCCACACGATCCACGATCTTCTGCATGGTTTTTAGTAGGAGAGACGTTAGGCTGATTGGCCTGAAAGATTTCGCCAATGAGTAGTCTTTTCTTCCTACCTTGGGAATGAAGATCACCTTCGCTGTCCTACATACTTCGAGGACGAGGAGGACGAGGACATTGCGAGGCTCTCTCCCAGCAGCCGAACCAGGTGAGCCAGTAGAAACTGCTTCCCCTGTTCTACCAGCGCCGGAAAGATGCAACTCCCGGAGACTTGAAACTCTCAAACGAGACCATTGCCCACCTGAAAAACCGTAAACAGCTTTTTGGCGATACTCCAATCATCGCGGGATGGCCTCATTATTTGACAACACGGAACACTTATGTTATTGTGCATATAAAGAGATTTGTGTAAGAAATAAAATGTTTATTTCAAACAATTATCTAAATAATATATATAAAATACATATGTAAAAATATTGTAGTGAAGTATAATTGTGTAAAAAGGGCATAATATGAAAGAAAAAGTTACTATAAATCGAGAAACTGCAAAATTAAATTAGCGAAATTTTCAACTTCAAGGTCCGTATCCAGCTCTCAATTAATTAGTCAAGAAAAAAAATACATTTTTTCTTCAACCGATTTGGCTAGCTGGCTACACATTGTGAGTGATCTACATTAGAAGAGCAAGAGAGAATAACAAAGAAAAACTTTCTGAAAACTTTGAATTTCCTTCAAAAAACAATTGTTGATTTCATGTTCCTTCGCAAAACCATGTCTGTCGTATTCACATTTTATTGAAAAATGTATTAAAAATTAGTACTAGATTTAAAAAAAAAAATTGACACACAATGGTGTTGGACCGACCAGGGTTATTTTTTTGAAACGTGACCGAACTTGACACACCCGCTTGGCGGATAATAAACTGATTTTTGGCGATAGACAACTGCAAAAATACTTTTTTTTGGGTATAATCTATTTTCTTTCTTTCTCTTAGTTCACTTACAAAAAATTTCTTTAGTAGTTAGAACAAGTTTAATATTGAAAAAAAATTTGTACAAACGATTTAATAGAGTGTTAGTGAAAATAAAAATGAAAAATATAAGTGTAAAATTTATTTTAAATCCACAAAATACGTAATTCAAATAATGGTTATTTTCAAATTTAAACGCAAATGTCTCGAAAGCTATTGGTTACCTGCGGCTATAACTATGTTAATATATCCTTGATCTGGCGAACCTCCTCCATCCGACCATACCCATTTTATTTCCGAACTCCTGGGACAGTATTCTACATTTTTCCCTTTTTTTGCTATAGACAACTGCAAAAATCAAAAAAAAAAAAATCGAAAAAATATGTAATTCAAATAGTGGTAAGTTTTAACTTTAAACGCAAATATAAATTTAACTATATGTTTCCTGTGCCTATAGTTATACATACATATTCTTGATCCCCCCTATCACCACCTCACCGACTGACAAGGTAATCGGAATCATGCCTACTTCTATTCCACCGTGTCGGAAATTGAATGCTACATAAAAGAACTGAAAAAATAAATGATACGATTGAACTGCACAAATGCCATTGCAGCTTTCATTCAAAAAGACAAGTCTAATCGACATCTTTGACAAACTCTAAACTGTCAATAACCCTAAGATTTTAGGTGTTACCTTCGACAGTGTATGCTCCTTCTCTCCCCATACGACCGCGATTATCGCCAAAGTACAGAACCGGAACAAAATCCTCAAGTCGGTAGCAGTGGCAGCACATGGGAAAAGACAAAGAAACATTGTTAGTAACTTACAAGACAATCGGTCGGCCGGTCCTTAACTACACAGCACCCATATGGTCGCCTGGATGCAGTGGCCAGCAGATGAGGAAACTCCAGACCTGCCAGAACACAGCACTCCGGACCACAACAGGATGCCTCTTGATGTCTCGCTTGGAACACCTACAGAGTGAGAAGCTTATGCTCCGAGTAAAGGAGCATAATGAACTCCTCTCAAATCAGTTCCTGCTAGAATGCTTTTGTAGAAATCACCCTTGCAGACATCTGCTTGGAGAGGAACCACATCCTAGGAGCATCAAGAGGTCATTCCTTGAACACGTGGACGACATCGTGCAATACGCCGACAGGACCTCGGACGCAACAGACTTTCGATAGGCACTGACCGCCATTCACAGTGGAGCCATCAACACCTTCACCGACTCCCTTGCCGTGAATGGCGTACTAGGAGTCAAAYCMCCACCCATAGCAGACGAAGAGCTCGAGTTGCCGCGAGAAACGCGAGTGACCCTTGCGCAACTTCGTTCTGGATGTTGCCGCAGGCTAAACTCCTACTTATCCAGAATAGACCCTGACATAGCTAATGTATGTCCTGCATGCAACGAGTTTCCGCATGACACTGACCACCTCTTTGTTCCGACCCCGTCGAAACAGCATGTTTCCTTGGTCTCCAGTTAAATGACGTCGACGACAACACTGATAACCCTCACCATCCTAACGGGGACTGATAACCGTTAAAACAACAAACTCTGAAACTTTCAGTATCCTTGAAAAATGGGGTATATTTGAGCTTTTATCCGCCACTATATATAAATATATCTGGAGATCTTCCTTGATCAGCTGATATACATGTTATGCCCGAATTTGAAGGTTTCTACGCTAACATTTATCCAGGACCATAAGACGTTTAAATGATTCATACCCATTTTGGACCATGATTAGTCTATACGTACTAATTAACACTTTTAATTGCTACTTATTTATATTTTAGTACGAATGTATTTGCAATAATGAAATAGTACTAAAATAAATTACCGAATATCGTTTTTATCTACGTATGAATTTTAAGCACTTCTCACAGGCATTAATAATAAATAAAAATTTTACACTAATCACCATGAACAATTTGTACTTTACTCTCGTTGAAAAACTATTGTCACTCTAGTCTATCACTCGTTCACAGAATAGAGTTTATTTTAACAAATAATTTGCGTTCAGGCTAGAGATCATCATTTATCGTTTCTGTTCTCACTGGATTTATATTATAATAGATTTCTCGGTATAAGGTATTGTAACTACTCTTGAGTTCCATCATTGGATTTTTAAATAAAAAGCCCATTTCCAAATAATGGCTATAAACTCATTATTACTCGAATTCATACGACTTAACGCTTAATCAGCTAATAGTGAAATTTTTTTTATTAATAAAAAAAAAAATAGTGAAATAAAAATGAATAAAATAAATTATTAATAGAAATTTTGGAATTTTTAGAAAGTCAATATAAATTTAACGAAAAATTTCGTTTATTATTAACTACGTCAAGAGACAATTGAGTGAAATTGAAAGCAATAATTGATTGTACTACGAAAAAATTTTGCGAAAAAGTTAGGAATATTCTAATAATTCTAAAAATATTAAATTTTGTTTTTGTTAATACACTAGCACATAGTTTAATTAGCAATACAAAACTGCTTACCTCTGATGCTGCAAAGCAAAGGAGGCAGCAGACTTCAAGCGACATCTGTCCAAAAATAGCAAAACTCAGCCATTTTGAGCAGTTTTGTCTATACAAATTTGATAAATTAAGATAAATACACGAAATTCTTGTGCATTGCCAACTTGCATTAACATGGGTCAAATGCGCAAGTAAATGTAAATTAAGAGCGCTAATGCATATTAGCGTCGTCGTCTGTCGGGGTTATTAGCGCTGTCGTCTGTCAGGGCTATAAAGCTTAGTATCCAACTCTCAGGGGCAAAATTCTGATTTCCGTGGCGTCGCGATTTGAAGGTACCGTTGGAAAGAGGAGAGTCCTCTTGATTAAAAAATATATAGGGTTATGGGTACCGCAAACGCTTAGTTTACGAGATATTCGACTTTATTCTTCAAAAATTCCCAAAATTCGAACGCTTCGAGAAGCTGTATTACAACATTAACACACTTTACTCACATTTTTCACTTCAAATTAATTAAATTAAACTATAAACTTTTAAATAAATCCACATTTTACACTTTTGGCAGGTCTTTTTACCTAAGAAATCTTTATTTTAAAAATTACATTTTACACTCGTAGTAAACATCATTTGCAGGCTAAAAATTACGACGAAATGGAGCGCTGCCAGGTTTTCCCAAAAAATCCTCTATCCATGCATATGGATATGCTCTTTATTTAATTTAATAAACAAATAAGTAATATTATTGTTGGAGATAGTACTGCATACACGCACAACACACACACACGTCGAGTCACACGTACAGCAGTACGCCATCGCCAGACACAAGCATATACKCGCCGTTATATAGTCAAAGTATATAGTAGTCAGTAAGTCGCATAATAGCCAGACGAAAAGTTTGAGCTCAGAGAGAACGTCGAGGATTGAGCTGCTGAACAGCTCCAACTACGAGATGTGGAGTCTCCGGATTAAGGCAGTGTTGCGACGAGACGACAAGTGGGGCTATGTGAGTGGTACTATCAAGCCGCCGAACGTCGTACCGGGAGATCGTACCTCTGAGACCGCGCTAAATAAATGGCAGGAGAACGATGAAAAAGCATTGTCTGAAATAATACTGGCCGTGAATGAAGTGGAGCTGAGGGTCATCTCCAAGTGCGAGACGTCGAAGGAAGCTTGGGATAAATTACAGTCTATCCATGCGTCGAAGAGTCCAGTGAGGAAAATCGAGTTACTCACGGAAGTTACGTCATTCAAGATGGATGAAAGCGACGACATCCGAGAAAGACTTGGTAAATTCATGAGTACCGTGGAGCAGCTAGGAGGAATGAATGTACCGATCGCAAATGATATGCTGGTCGTGCTACTACTAAAAGGACTCCCGCCCAGCTTCGAGGGTTTCAAGTGCGTCATCAGATCCATGGACGCATTACCGAAAATAGAAGCGTTAATTGGAAAAAATTTACGACGAAAAGAAGTCGCAGATAACAACAGATTCACCGGAAAATAATAACGCGCTCTTCGCTGGTAAGAGGCGCGGCGGGGGCCGAAATTACAGCAAGTCGAGACCGAGTGCGCAGAATCCGTGCCACGTATGCGGCGGCACTGATCATTGGGCGGCAAAATGCCCAAATCGAGGCAAAAATTCTGCGAAAAATGTCAATAGTCAGGACGAGAATTTGTACATAGAAGTCGCAAAACCTGAARAGGTGAAGAACGTATCATCAACGACGAGGTGGTGTATAGACAGCGGTTGCACCACGCACATGTGTGCCAACGAAGTGATGATGACGGATATCAAGGGATGCACAGCGATATTGAACATGGCAAATTCTGCGTCAACGACAGCGCGAGCGAGAGGCATCGCGCATGTGACTGTAACAACGGATGTTGGTAATGTAGAACTCAGTTTAAATAATGCATTACTGGTCAAGGACCTCAGAACTAATTTAATTTCTGTATCCAAAATTACCCAACATGACCGGGAGGTCTTATTTAGGAAAGACGAGGCGATCGTCAGGGATCTCCAAGGCAACGTCAAGCTGATAGCGGACCGCATCGGGGAATTATACTACCTACGAGAGGGTAACGGACAGGCGAATGCGGCGACGACTTAAGAGTCGCGCGCGTCACCAGCGAGTCTATGGCATGCAAGGCTAGGGCACTTGCACATGGACGCCGTRGTAGATTTATCAAGGGGTCGAGCAGGCGGAATAGAACCGCTATCAGGAGGCAGAACGTCGTGCGACGTATGCAGTCGGGGAAAAATGACGGTGAAAYCKTTCACGCCGCGTACAGAAAGGAGCACAAAATTGCTCGAGATCGTTCATTCAGACCTATGCCAGCCGTCGAGCTCGCCATCTGAAGGAGGTAATAGATATTTTGTCACATTCATCGACGACTATAGCGGATGGTGTGAGATATTTTTGCTGAAGAGCAAAGACCAGGTATTCGAGAAATTCAAGGAATACAAGAGCAAGGTGGAAA